AAAGCACGAAAGCATAAAACCCGCCAAAAGATGGGGGGGGGGGGGGCGGACTACCCTTGTAATGGGGCTACCCCCACACAGCAAGGGTCAACTACTTGTTTATGTCTAGGGGAGTTGCATACAGCACTTTTAGTAACCAGATCCCCTTTCCCCAGTCAGTTGGTGCTTACCCCTCCACTCTGAATCGAGGACGGTCTCTTGCCATCCACATTTTTAATGCATGGCTATGGGACCTGCATTGTATGAGATGCCAGCACACCTCCAACCACCAGAGAAAGGGAGGGGGGCAAGAGGCTCCGGGCACCGGTCTTGGAGCCTGTGGTCTGTCCCACGTATAACCAAAAGGGACGTCCGATACAATAAACAACTTATTCAGAAAGGCAAGTAAAGTGATCCCCCAGAAAGGGCTGTGCTATGTGGCAAAGTTATGAAAATCTCAGAAATGGATGGACAGAAATATAAATCCTTTGGTTGTTAAAACACCATATATGTATTTTAGTTCTGTAGATCTTTAACTTAACTAACTAGGAGTTAGAACTAATTCTAAAGCACAACTTCATACAAAACAGTTACTCTCTGGGTAGCGTTTAGTCTCCCTGCCATTCCCATCATAGCTGTTTAAAGCGGAGCTTCTGGCGCACTGTTTTAAGCAAATAAGAGAACAAAAGCCAATTACCTATCGACTTCATCCGCATAGGAGATTTTATAAAATCCATAATAAGAACTGGAAAAATTGGAACAATAATCAATACTGAGAGTGAACTCCGTTCCTTTTGACAGTTTTTCCGGTAAAACCATCGCAATCATGTCAAATGTTGGATATTCCAAAACGTTGAGCTTGTGAATGGACCCTCCAGTTAAATTGACACTTGCCTCAAGATTTTGCAGACCTGAGCTATGAAGTACAACAGTTTTGGTGTCCTCTACAATTTGCATTTTAATCTGAACACTACCAGAAAACTCCATGGTGGTCAGATTGGGATTCAGAGAAATGTCATATTTCAGTGGTATGATGGAGCTTGGAAGTCTGATTTTCGTCCAGGGGAAGAGTTTTCCATTAGTAGCTATAGGGTAAACCAGTTCCATTGAGTGGTTTTTCTTATGGCAACCATCTTTGGTAAATGTGCACTTTGGAAGCAGGTAAACCACCGTCACTATGGACACTAAAATGACAACAACCGCGACACTCGCTATCACTGTCCTTGCCGAAGGTGTAGGACATAGTCCTTCCTGAACCTGTCTGTAGTTCCCAGGGTTACTCCGACCAGAACTCCTGTTCATAAAAGACATGCCCAGCAGCTTTGCTGAAGATTCATAATCATCTTCGTCATCGTCTAATTCGTGCTCTCCCAAGCCACGCACTAATAATCGCGAGCTCCGTGGTTCATACTCTACTTCGTCAGATTCCAGAGGATTTAAACTAGGCTCTTTAGCCAGATCAACCACATCTGGTTCCTCCTCAAACATACTGTTTTCAATCATGTTTCTGGGCAACTGGGTCCGATCTGAAAAATATAAATATGTTATGATTATCAGTTCTTAAATAGCGGTTCAATAGCCAAGAGTATTACATTGAAGAGAAAAAGCATAACATTAGATTTTAAGTATAAACCACTTTGTGTTAAAAGGAAAAGTTTAGACAATACAGGCAGTCCCCGGGTTACGAACAAGATAGGGACTGTAGGTTTGTTCTTAAGTTGAATTTGTATGCAAGTTGGAACAGGTAAAAAATTTTTGGGTATAGGTATTCACATATATTCACATTTATTCTTACTTTATTAATTTATTTAATTTATTACTAAATTTTATTTTTCCAGAAGCGCAGATTCATTTGTTTAAAAAATTTTAATTGCAACTCGAGACAAAAATGTTTTTGTTTTGGATAGCACAGGGAAGGGTTTACCCCCTGTAGTTTGTTTTGCGGTGTGTGCCCCTGTTCAGAAGGTTTCACCTCACTTTCTGTCCCTGTGACAATTGGATTTTGAAAATTTTGGGTTGTCGTAGAAACAAGGATTGGTTCTAAAGCTTCAGTGGAGACAACTCTTTCCCATGATCACTCTTACAGGAGTGAAGTGCCCTTCCTAGGGGTAGGATTTCCCTTCACTTCCTGTTGTCTCAAAGGACAGGAAGTGAGATTAAATCTTTCTGAGGATAAAGGCAGCAGTAAAAACCTCATAGTGACCTGGAAGAAGAGGCGGGTACCCCTCGTCTGCAATCTAACAAGAGCCAACTTCCTGTAATGCATGTACAGTACTACAAACCAGACCCAAGAAGGTGGGCACTCCTCATCGTTACGAGCGTGGGAGCAATACAACTTCCCCTGCTTAACAGTAACAGCCTCCGTTTGTAAGTAGGAGTCGGATGTATGTAACTCGGGGACTGTCTGTAATAATAAAAATAACATAATAATTCTAAATATTATTTTATTACATTATTTTTAAAAAAAAAAATGTAAAAATATTTTTCTCTTAGATCTATGGAATATTGCACAATATTTGTAGTCTTCCATCTAACCAGCAAGTAGAGCTCTAGTCTCATTTCAAATAGATATACATTTTATAATTTCAACTATGTTGGGGTTGTTTACAAAGTTCTTTGGGTCATGAGACCAATGAGTCATTCTCTAATCTGATGTTTCATTTACACAAATGCAGCCGTTAAGCAGGCTGTTCTACTTCACTGCCTTTTTTCCCAACACACACTCTTCTGGGAATCTTTTGTCACATATTAAATGTTTATTTGTAAAACAAAAAAGATTGTTTGTATGCAAAGCAGATATAAAATTTATAAAAAAAACAAAAAACAAACAAAAACAAACAAACAACATACAACCTGAAAGACCAACTCCACTTTTTCTTAGGTTTGATAGACTCACGCATATTAAAAGGTGCACCTTGTTACAGCAAATGCTGTAATAATTTGCTGTTACAGCAAACGCTGTGATAATGCTGTGAGATATTGAAACACTAAAAATAAAAAAATCAAGGCAGAAGGATGATAAATATAAACTGTTCAACATTTGGCAGAAAGCATATCATATTCAAAGCTCAGACTTGACAGATGGGATGGGGCTACAGTTGTTTGCAGGAAATAATAAGTTCTATAAACTGACTTGCAGTTCCTCTTAAATGGTTAAAGGAATAATATATACAGCAACTGGCTTATGAATTATAGGAAAATTCCATCTCATGATATTGTTGCTGGTGTAGTCATTAATATGACCATTTTGAAATCTTATTTATATTAGGGATGCAAGCAAATGGAGAGGGTTTGATTTGGTGTGAAGTAAAAAAAAAAGGCTTTAGCAAGCTTCACACCTGTGAGCACGAACTACTTCAATCATTCTAGGGGGACTAAGCGCAGGGGCGAGCAGACATTCATTCATTTCTTCTTTCAGGCATGACTTGAAAACATTACACAAAAAGCAACAGGTGAACAGCAGGAAGAAGACCATTTGGAAATTTATTTTTACAGAATTTGTATTATGCAGGACATTCATAACTAATGCCAATATGTAACCTTTTGAAAGGCATCTATTTTAAATGCATGGCTCTAAACTTGCGGCAGCCTGACTGCACATTATGTAGATTCCTCCGCCCACCGTATAGCCGAATGCGGTTTGAAATAGATGGCACTGATGAACATAGGGGTTTCATATGATCCTTAGCTTCATGCAGTGCCAGTAGCTTAGCTATACTCTGGGTGGAAGATTTATAAAAGTCTGCTCTTTACAGTATTATTCCCAAATGTGTTTGAAGTTTAGTGAAATATAGGTGGTATATAAATAAAATAAGACACTGTCTTATTTTCAGGGAAACACGGTAGGTAAGCATGCGACACCCTTTCCTCCCACATAACAGAGTTTGTGTTTAGACATTGGCCACTCAGGCTCCAGAGCCATCACATGGGCACTGGAAGTCCCCAGCCCTGTGCAAGCTCCAACTTAGGGCTAACACAAGGCTTCAGGCCTCATGGAAGCTGCCATTTTATAATGAGCATTTTGCAAAAGAGCACAATATAAAAAGAGAACATTTGATAAAGCCACAGTTGATGATGAAACCTGTTTTAATACATTGACAATTGTATCTATTGATGGGACAGCTATGCAGAATAGAAGCAGAAGGAACAGAATTTTAGTCAAGAAATATAGATTAAGGTTATAGAAATGGTAGCTAGGATATGGGATATAATAAGAATATAGAGAGATTGGTAAAGGACAACCTGAGGAATAGAAAATGTTTCTGCGATATACATAAATTGTCCTAGAAATTTATGCTTCCTGTTGGTAGCAATGCTGTATGGCTCCTTTTATTGGTCCCATGGTGGTGTAAAAAATAATAATAATCGTACGATAATCCCGCGATCGTAAGATTATCGTAAGGTGTGTGGAAGCCGTGCGACCTCTACTACTGTAAGGTCGCACGACTTTAAACTTACGAACATGTTTGAAAACCCGCCGAGCATCGTACGATGTTCGGCGGGTGTGTAGCACGTAAGATAAAAGCTGGACGGGCCGGTGTGCACCCGTTCGGCATTGAGGTCATCGGAAGCCCGCCCCTCAGGGGGGCATGGCTTGCGATCATCGCAAGTACGATCTGCCTATGCAAGATAGGCAGATCGTACGTTTTTTAAAGTACCTTACAACCATCGCAAGACAAAAGTATTGCGATGGTTGTAAGGTGTGTGCCCAGCCTTACAGGGTTATTCACAAAAGGGTGAAGAGTCTGGGGAAGACAGGAGAATTGAACAATCTAGGACAAAATAGCCGATTTGGAAAAATTCTCCAATTCAGCTCACTTTCCAGTTCAGCTATGTTGTCCTAGATTGTTCACTTCTCCTGCCTTCTCCAAACTCTTCACCCTTTTGTGAATAACCCCCTTACAGTTTTTGAACCTTTTTATATTCAAATATATTCAGTGGGTTAGTGGCCAGTTGGCACCAAGTCTGCATTTATAGGATATTGAGAATTCTGCCGGAATCTCTCTTTATATAGTCAGGATTGTTTATTTACCATATGCCCTAAAACAACCAGTCAAGGCCTTTCTATTTCATAAAATCTATTTGATCCAAAAGATGACTGAGCACAAGGTAGACACATTTCTTACATGGGGCCCAGTATTATTAAAGAATTTTCTATTTTAGTCTTAAATTGCACTAATATATTGTACATGGCAGGCCTGTGAGATTTCTTCTCACTTTCAATTTGAAAATAATTACAGTGTGTTACATGCAGTACATGAGCTCCTAACCAATGCGCCAGACTCCATATATTGCTGTCTCACGTTGGTCTGTTTAATCCAGAATTTCTGCAAATGTATTTATAGAAAGTGACAGATTCAAGCCTGAACCAACAGATCATATCTATAAACAGAGCAATCTGTGCAGCAAGAGTTGTCTTCAACTACAGTGCAATCAGAATGTATTCAGACCCCCTTTACTTTTTTCAATTTGGTTATGTTGCAGCCTGATACTACAGTTGTTTACATTCTATATTTTTTTTTCATTAAATCTACACTTAGTTCCCTATAATGACAAAGTGAAAACAGAATGTTAGAAATTATTTCAAATGTATGAAAATGGAAAAGCTGAAATATCACATTGGCATAAGTATTGAGATCCTTTGCAACAACACTTGAAATTGAGCTGATGTGGCTCCCATGTCTCTTGATTGTTGCTGAGATGTTTCCACACCTTGATTGGAGTCCATCTGTGGTCAATTAAATTGATTGGACATGGTTTGGAAAGGCACACACCTCTCTATAGAAGGCCTCACAGCCGATAATGCATACTGGGACAGTTTTAGCCTCTTATATCATTTTTTTCCCATCTAAACTAGTAGTCCATCACTGGAGACTTTTTTTTTTAATCCGATTAATCGATTAATCGAACTTAATAATCGGCTAACTAATCGATTATGAAAATAATCGTTAGCTGCAGCTCTAATCTGCATATCTGTCTTTCAACATGTGACCCTGTTTTGACCCAACCTTACACTACTTTGCCAAGTGCACCTGTTTTCAACTGTATGTTTTTTTGCACCTGTTTTGACTAGAGCTTGCACTGCATTATGCACATGTTTTCATCTGCACTTGTTCTGGGCTGTCTGAAACTGGAGCATCATCTAAGAAAACAATCATAACTTAAAAAGTCCCCATGATCACTTCAAGATGCGACAGTTAAGCTTTTTGCCTGGAGTTACAAGTTTTCTTTCTCGGAGCCTATTAAACCTCATTTATCAACAACATTACACTAGCATCATAAATCTGGTGCAAATATATTTCGTGCAAGTTCAAACACTCGCAATTGCTATGATAAATCCCCCCCGTGGTATCAGCCATGAGGTCAAAAGGAACTGCCTGCAGAGCTCAGAGACATGATTATGGCGAGGCGGTATATACACAGGGGAAGGGCTCTGCACACCAACAACAATAAATCTATGTGGGTCTCCTAAATAATCAAAAGTCTATTTCCACTTTAACAGAGATCTCAACATAGAATGATATGT